GCAGACCAACTACATTAGCGGGCTTTACCGAGATAGCATCCGCGGCGCGAGGCGCTCTGCTTACACAAGTTACGGAGAGGGAGGCGTTGTACTAGCCACGGCAGACTTAGTTAAATATAAAACCGCTATCAGTGTCTGACCTCGCAGCTCCATTAAGAAAAGGATAACGCAAGAGCTGCAGTAGTATGATGTACCTGATGTGCTCACTATCAGTGTACTACGAGTGCTCATCAGCACAATGTGCAACTACGAAGCGCATCCAGCCACATATTTCGATATAAGCTCCGACCCTGATGTACTTCTGGTAGAATATAGCATAGTACCAGACATTCAACTTAAGTACATGGTTCATGATAAGCAAATCACTATCTCAAGGCACAATTCCGGCATTCAGGGCGGTTTTGTGTGGTGTATGCTAATACTCGCGTCAGTGAACAACCCGCCAAACGAAGAGCAATTTGTCTTTACAGGATGACCATTATGCGATGGTGCAGGCCGCGCCGGGGCCGCCTGTCTTGGATGGGTATTCCATGTCAACAGGAGATTTGGGCACCTCGGTCGCATTGCTCATGAGTTGAACGGTATCCATTAGAATATGATTCACTTGAGCTATTAGATTATGTAAAAGGGGTTTCAAGAGATAGTAGAGGAGTGTCTGATGCTGAAGGGGATATATCGCATAGACTTTATGTGCATCCCGCAGCATAATGCGCTTAAACAAGCTTGTGAGGGTAGACGGGCATGCAGCGGGCTCATGAGCCCAGTACCCGAATCATGTCTCACCCATACACGTCAAGTTACGCTGAGGAGGGAGTCGAGAATGGCAGGGATTCTTGGGTGTTTGAATTTGTAAACGGTGTTATTTTCTTTACGCGGACTTCTCCTATACAATTTGTACAAGCACGGCATGATTCAGACACTGAACCCCAGCACTGTGTCCCTAGTAGGACTCTACATCGGTATCCCCTGGCCGTAACCGCAGGATCTGATAGGTATTGGGAATGCGGCCAACTGCCCGAGAGCCACATGTCGTACGGGTTGTCGGCGCGGACAGGTGATGGGTAGATTCTTGACGTCAAAACAGGCATGTCAACTCAATATGAGTCGCATCAGAAACCACGTTGTGGACGCGCTTTCCTACTACAGGATCCAATTGTCACAGGGTTTCACAACGGACAGTGGCGCAACGCACTGGACCAGGAAATGAACTGGACTAGGGAAACGAGCCGGGTTTATCATCTCAGTTTCGTCCCTTCTCATCCACCAGAATGTTTACAGGTCGCTCAAGTTGTAATCGATCAGCCACGCAGGCTACCAAAGCCGGAATAAAAAAAATTCACGGAAATGCTTTCATACACGGTCAGGGGCAATCAAAAAGTTCTCTGCTAAAAGCTGAAAATCTGACTAGCGCGCACCAGCAGCTCAGCGTCTAAGCATGCTTATTAACGCCCAATGGAAGCCTCGCGGCATGGAATATCAGTGCCACAAGGGTCTAATGAGTCCGATAAAGTATACCTAGACGTAGAGTCTTCCAATCTGCCCGAAGATCTCGGGTACCTGTGGGTTTCGCGCTCTCGGGTCGGCGATGGGTGGGTTATAGCCGCATTTAGATAGCCTGGGTTATCCTCCCACAACCAACTGTGATGGATGCGATATGTGTGAGAACAGTTATGATATGTCGAATCGTCATTGTGATTTTGGTGGTTGACGGCAAATACGGCGCTGGCACCAGCATCTCGTCACGCAGCCTCGATACGGCAAACACTACAAAGATCGTCCGACACGATGTGTCTGACAAGACCGCTACAAGCGCTCTACGGGTACTACTCAGAACGAAATACCCCCATGAAAGACCTCTTCCGTTACAATAAAATGTAAGACCGGGCCCAAAGGGCCGATGTCGGATATTCTATAAGGAATGAACCCAAATACGACCGTACAGCTTGGCCCACATCATCCCGGCTTGTATCTCTACCATCGGTGGTAAGTACAGGTCAGAGCGCGATATGGCTGTGCATGTGATCGGAGTGCCGAGTGCCGGGCTCCTCCCGACCCAGTATTGCTCGTGCACCACGATTGATGATACAATTTATATACCACTACATGAACACATCGGTCAAACCGCGGTCGGGCCGAGTCCAAACGGCCGATTGGCTACGGCATATGCGAGAGACGAGATAGAAATGAGCAGGAACGTGGAAAGCATATCAGGGGGAATGTGAGGGTGCTGTGTCGAAAACACAGCGATAGGGAGAGAGCGAGATGTAAATAAGGGAGAAAAAACAGAAGAGATGCCCAAAGAGAGAAAAGACAAGAAAACTTCGAAGGCAAAAAGATCAGTACGTGAGCCTCATAATAGGATTCTGGCCGAAGCCAAACCATCCGGGTTTTCATGCAGACATAGCTTGTGCGCCACGACCCCACCTTATTTTATCAGAATTCCGCAAAAAAAAAAATGAAACGCAATACTAATGTTATATGCATCGTGGACTCTGGTAGCTAAAATCGAACAAAACTTTATATTGGAGCTGAGAGAAGTAAAAATAACTTAAGTCATTTCGCAATTCAGCACAGCAAAAGAGCACAGCATCTGTCTACATTATCGTAACATTCACGTCCGTTGAGTGTTCGTTCGGTCTCCATGAGAGAGAATCAGTTGGCGAGCGGAAGGTACCTTATTATAAACCTAGTCCCAGATGATTCGAATCCAGTAAGCTCAATCAAACTCAGGTGCAACAGGCAGCAGAACAAGGCTGTCTCGATTAGCTTCCAAGTAGATTTGAGTGCCCTTGTGTAAATGTGCCCTGTAATTAGGCTAGATTATGCCTTTGAAGTAACTGAACATTTGAAACTAGTGCCGGGTTCAAAACAAAAAACTCCGAGAGTTGTAAAATCCCTACCATTCTATCATTAATCTGACGGCCAAGCGATAAATGGTCGAATCATACCCTATCGGGGGAGCTTCGAAGGGCGTGGGTGCTCACCGCTTGATAGACGAGCCAGATTGAGCTGCTCAACGGCATGGTAGATGTTCCTCACACATAATGCACGTATCTGTCAGTGAAAAATGATAACCATTGTTTTACGCAGAACATTGGTACATGTTTCATCCGTTGACATTCCGGTTCTCATCAATCTCACTTCATAGCTCTACCTAAGTTGCTTTGCTGAAAAACCATAGCTCTCCCGGAGTACCGTCCGTGACGGATAAGAATGTCTACACCCTCGAGTTCTTAGTAAATTGACATGGTTGGCCAAGCACATTCTTACCGAACTCTCTTCGCCGGCATCCTTGAGAAGGCGCCAGCTGATATCTTTGTCCTCGGTTGAGATTCTGGGTCAACATGATTAAACTAAACATATGGGCTATCGCTTGAAGTTCCGACTCGCTCGCCTGTACAGCATAGAGCCGACTTCAGTGATCACCCATTCGTAGGATCCTGGAAGAGATTGGACTCTAAGCCCCTAAAGACAACGTGCCCAACCGGAAACAAACGGTTAGCGATACATTCAAACTGAGTAGTGTTGCACTCACGTTCTCGTAGTCTGAAGACTGGAAATAGTTGGTATGGCCGTAGAATTGAATGATATACTTGTTGCTGCTATCGTCACGGGCCTTCGTGACCGTTACGCTTTTCTAGACTAAGGTGAGCAAAATATTGTTCAACTGTTAACTCTCAATCCATATCTTACCCGACAGTCAACTGAAACAAGCAAGAGCTCATCGTAGAATTGAGCAACGTGAAGGCGACCTTTTTCCTTGGCTCCGTAAACGGAGTAGAGCCAGTAGTCGCCGCTCTGGAAGGTCATGATGTGGTATGCGAGGGATTAAGAGTGCGGGTGATCAAGTAGACGCGGTTGCTCTTGGTGGAGACAGAGCATCCATCGAGTCGAGCATTTCATAGTCCAGCTTACACAGCTTGGTTTGGTTATGTCCCACGCTCCTGACGAGGCGCATCGTTCCCGCAGATAGATACTTGCTTACTCCGCACCGCAAGGCTTGGGGTCTACTAGCGTTTTCGCGGGCCGCGAGACGCAGAGGCGCCCTTGGCAAGAAACGCTTCGAATGAATGTCAGCAGAAGCTTCACCCAAATACGGCATTCTACCGCAAAGGTACTCCTGTTAGAATCATATGCGGTATGCTATGGAGCGAACAAGCGTCCGGAGCCTGAACTGCCGAGATCGACCTTGATCTATTACCGGGTAGTTGTGATTGGGCGAAAGGTCATTTTAAGTAAAACTTTTAATGTGAGCACGATAATGAGCAACATAGCGCATGTGTGTGGACATATTGGATAAGGGGCGGATGGCGTTCGGGTCGTCCTTTTACTCGCCTCACGTACATGATTTCTTCTTACTGTTCGTTTGTGGGGTCTTGAGTATTACAGAATGCAAAGGCTGACGGATCGATCGGTCAGGTAAATATTCCTTAGAGCTGCTTTAGAGTATAAATAAGGACCGCCCACGATACCGATATTGAAAAGGTGAGATTAGCATTCGTGAATGTGGCCAAAGATATCGTCTCCCAAGTTGAGCCTGATAGGACATGAAAGGCTAATCCTGAGAAATGTGACGTCTTCTTGAATGACACGCATATATCAATCACAGTACTGAGGAGTGATTTCTATGCGTCCTTTCTGTAGCATAAATGCAGGAAAATAGGGTGGCCGAGCCGGAACAACGATTGGCTGTGTTTAGATGATATTGTATAGAGTAAACAGAGGTGGCATTCTGGTTGGAGGTTGCAATGCAGTTATTCCAACCCCCAACCCTCACACAGGTTGTGTCTTTTTCCAAACGGCCAATTGAAGCGTGGCACATGGATTATGTCGTGCACAGCCCCAGAGTAGTAAGCACCAAAGGGGTACAACAAACAAAATTCACCGAGTGAAGTTTGTCGTTGTGTGAATAGAAACGTAAGCTAGATTATATTTGGCCCAAAAAAACGACGTAGGATCTGAAACTTTTTTGCCTCATATTCCGATCACATAAAAAATTCTGCGTGAGCCGGGAATCGAACCCGGTTCCTCGGTATGACGTAAGCTATTGCTGCCTGAATCCCGATTTTCACCGGGCCATATGATGGGAAACCGAGATAATAACCATTATACTACCCACGCGCGTCTGAAGGACTTTGGATCAACTTACAGCTGGTAACGTAGTTCAACACCCCATATACATGCACATCATGTCTTACCTTACTCCTGGATCATAGTGAGGATACATACACTACTAGCGCTACTTTCATTCAATGCCATCCGTGCTGTTTGTCTTTCCCGAATAATTAGCCTGCACTAATGATGAATATGACTGCCACGTCGTTCGTCTCGGTACGCTGTTTCCCCCAATCAGATATCGCTCTTGTTCCTTCATCTCGATATGATTACACTCATCTCCGGTCGACCGGAGCGTCTAACATTCTAGCGACACGGGCAGTAGCATCAATTGGCCGAGCTGAACTTGAAGACCATATGCTTTTACTCGCTATAGCGTCCTACCGACATCGTCATTCCTCTCGGTCATTATATTCCGCATCGGATCAGTTACCTAAATGACGGCAACAAATCGTTTGCGCAGGCGAAAGTGGAGCCGCGGTACGCTACACGTGGGAGCCGTCGGCAACGCGCTCGGGATCGTCGGGCGGTCTCGGCTGCGAACCATCAGCCCGAGCAACGCTGGACATGTTCCTGCACAATGTCTAGATTGCTAAATACTCCGAAGATATATGCGCCTAGCCGGGCCATAAAATGCGGACACACTTGGCTTTGAGTCGACATCAGTTCTCTTCGTTCTACATCTTCACTTCCCAACCTCTACCACACTCTTCAAAATGTTCAACAAGTTCGCTGTTGCTGCTACTGCCGTCCTTGGCATGAGCTCGATGTTCATGGGTGCGGCTGCTCTGCCCACCAACGCGACCGAGATCACTGCTCGCTCGATCAACCCCGCGGGAACTCACACTGGCCAGGTATGTCTCATCATCTTTCTACGTCAAATAGCCCTAATTAATTACTCGAAATAGTTGACCTACTGTATGCGCCTCTCTTGAATTTGGATTCATATGCTAACCTGATCTTACAGTCGACATTGGTCTCGGCGCTTGCGGCTGGTGGAACGTAAGTCTCCAATACACAACTATCAATCCATTCTGCTAACGTCGTACTACCAGTCCAACACTGAATGGGTCGCCGCCATCTCCCACGAGCTCTTTGACGGCTGGCCAGGCTACGCCGGCGGCAACCCCAACAACAACCCTGTGTAAGCTTTACAACACCGACCACTCCTCATTCGAGGCTAACTTTCACTTTGGTCGCTGTAGTTGCACGACGCCTCACACCGCTGACATCACCTGTATGTATCTATATATCTTCTTAGCACGGCAATTCATTGACCAATTTGGACAGACAACGGCAAGACCATTCGTGTCGGCATTGTCGACCGCTGCGAGGGCTGCGCGCTCTGGGACGTTGATCTCTCGCCCTCTGCCTTCCAGGCGGTACGTAGATAATACTTCGCAGCGAAAAATTTTGTCTAACATTTGCTGCAGCTCGCCCCTCTTTCGGCTGGCCGCCTCTACGGCGCCACCTGGCACTTCAACTAAGTTGGCATGGTTATATGGGCTATCATCGGCCGGTTCACTCTAGATATATAGACTGTATGCGCCCCCAATCTATGCAATCCATTTGGTTTTCGTTAAACAACGCGAGTCTGAATCTCTCGTTGTCTCATGATGGTATCTGAGAGTCCAACCTTTCAATCCTGGCAACACTCGATGTGCATACCTATCAAAATCCAACACCAACCTTCACACAAGAGACAAAACTAAAACAAAATGACCACAGCATTCAAAAGCACAACATCCTAGAATACAAACTCATCCACAGATATTGGGATACTTCCTCTCCGCCGGATTAACCGGAATCCACCCACCCGCAAGCCCAGCCTGATAACTCCACTCGTCGGCATTCTCAGCCTTCCAAGTCCAGTAGATCCACCCAGCACCTCCCTGTTCAAACGAACTCGTCTGCGCTTCGTAAAACTGGCGCATAAACGTCTTGTACTCGTCGGTAAACTTGGAGCGAGAACCCGTAAACGGGCCGCAATCACCCTTTTTGGTCGAGCCGCTCTTGGTGCCATCGTACCGAGCGCCGACGCCACGGCCGTTTAGGTACTTGGCACAGTCGTACGGCGTGGTGGTCCATTCGCCGACAATGACCCAGAGGTTCGAGGACGAGTAGGATCCGACCGTGTTTCGGCCAAAGTTGCAGGCGGTCTGGATGTGTTGGGGCCAGGTCATAGAAACCTCGGCGTCGGAAAAGATTTCATAGTGGTGCTGCGGAAAGTAGTGGGTTAGAACGGCAGAGTACGCCACTTGGATCGAAACTCACAGTATCCATCGCGACACCCTCAAAGTTGGGATACTTCATGAATCCGTTCCAAGAGCTCAGAGGCTGGAAAGCATCGTGGATAACCTCGAGCAAGGGGCCCTATGCAAACATAAGTTGATGCCCAAGCTTACCCACAGCATACTCACCTGGGTGGCAGATCCAAATGGATAGCGAATGTTTCCATAGGAATCATACCAATACTGGCGAATGACATCCATGACATTTCCCCCAACAAACCCAGCAGGCTCGTTGAGTGGGGCAATAGACGTGACCGTCGAAGCATACTGATCCTTGCTGGAATTGAATCTTACGTCAGACGCATTCAATCCGCTGAACAAAAACAACCCACCTGAATTCAGCAGCGAGCGTCTTGATAATAGCATTGGTCCTAGCGACGTTTTGGGAATTGGTATGCCAAGTTGCGTCACCGCGTTTACCAGAATTGTCGAATCCGTTCTGTCCAACATGTGAATAGGCAAATACGGAAATAGAATTGACGCAACACGACTAACCTGGCTACCTGGAGCGCCGTGCAGGTCAATCAAGACCTTGACGCCGTGGTTTCCGGCCCAAGTGACGGCCTTTTTGAGATAGTCGTATTGACCTTGATGATACGGCTCTCCGGCGGAAATGTCAAACGCCCAATATCCGATCGGAATACGGACATGGTTGAGACTGATCAATGAAATCAGTAACATGCTAAAAACTTGGCGGCAACTGCTTACCCGGCCGCGGCAATGGCGGCAATGTCGGATTCGGTGATCCAAGTGTCCCAGTGTTTCTTGAGGACAGACTGGGCGGTGTTGAAGTCTTGGAATTGACCAAACCTAGGAAAGATTCAGAACCATGTACGATAGACAGGAGATAGGGGCCTACGTGAACTCGTCGACAATGTTGGGATTACCGGTGTTGTCAAACAAGGACGGCGTGATCCAGGGCTGGTGATGCATTTAGCAAGATGTTATCCAGGGTCGTGTACACACTCACCTCGAGCACAAGCCATCCACCGAGGTTGACGCCACGGACCTTGGTCGATCCAAACGGGAAGCGAAGAGCGGGAGCACGCTTGGTGTGGGTTGCGTTGGTGGCCGAGTCGGTGCGGAGTTTAGGGGCACGCGTGTGGAACGGGTGGTGACGAGCCTTGTGGGGCTCGAGTTCACCGAGCACGGCGGGGACAAGAGTGAGGAGAGAGAGCGAAAACGATATGAGCATCATGGTTGGAGAACCCAGTGAGCGACAGAGGGGATTAAAGTGATTGTGAGGCGGGCGCAAAGAGTGAGCGACCCGTGTATGAGCGAGCAGTGCGGGAGGAGAACAACAAGAGGTGGGGCTGGTCCGCTTGGGCCCGTCTTAAGCGGCTCCTGTGTTCGCCTCCTGAGCATTTTGTCAGCGCAGAAGCCTCTCAATTGGAGGCTTCTCGAGTCGCGGTCACCTGGTATTTCCACCGATCTCCGGATCGGTCTAGGCGGGGCTCCTCACTTTGCCTTCGGGGGCGCGTCAACTCCGGAGTGCATTCCACCTGCGTCCAAGCTGTCCCGCGCGTTGTAATAAATTATCCAAAATGCGGACGAAAAATGTTCATCCCGATGACCGAGGATACGCATGGAACTATGCTGACCATGATTTCTAGAAGCAGTAAATTCCATCGAGGAAGGTCGATCGTGACAGCCCTGTACAATGAGTACCTGACTGGGATTCGAGCGGCTCGTCCACACGGCGCGCATCAGAGTCTCGGCAACACCCCTGCTTATGTCATGCGTCGAGACAGTGGCAAAGCGCCTCTCGACGTCGACAGCCCGCAGCACAGCGGAGAAGGCTTGGCGCACCCCCGTATCTCTGGTAGCGACGCGTTGCCTTTTCCCGCAAAACTTTGTTGCAACGCATCCATCACCACCTCGACGACACCCGCGCCGCGCCAAGCCTTTAGAAGGCAAACAGTATCAGAAGCCTTGTCCCCCGGCGAATATAAAAATGCTTGTCCCAGCTCGATCGAATGCCAGGTCGCCCAGTCTGGTCCACTTGGCTGCCCCATCTGCTTTCATTCTTTCACTTGCTTTTTACTTTTTCTCACAACTCTCTCGTTAAATCCTCAACGCCCAAAACTCTAAAACTCTAAACGACTCGCTCAACCATGTTCGGTGCCCCTCTTGTTCGCGCTACCGTAATGCACCACCAACGCCGTCCTAGCGCATCAAACTTGCCATCGAGCTCTGCCGTCCACGCTGCGATCATGGCTACCTCGGCTTCGAACAAATCAAACAGTACGTCCCTTTTTCTCATCGCACCAACCTTCATCGTACTGATTGCCTTGTCCCATCAGACGGTCGCGTGGCTCAAGACACAACCTCCGCACTCGCCGCATCCAAGCCCAAATCAAAGTACGCCGAGACGGACATGCAGATGTTTGTCGACTCGCCATTTGTCGGTGGTGCGATGCTCTCGCCCGAGTCGACCTCGACTCAGTCTACCAACAAGGCCAAGCCCGAGTTCAACTTGAAGTACTTTAACCCTTCGAGCGATCCGCGCTTGCTCGCCATGTAAATTGCATCGAGGCTGCAAAGTAGTTCGTCGGGCACGAACGAGTCGTTCTTCTCTCTCTCTATTCTTTCGGGTTGATTCCTCTTTTTTTCGGTAATTTATTACCCACGGACACGCAAGTGATGTATGCTGGGTTATTTTTATTCGCTTTGAAAGCAGATGTACATTTACAAGACCACCATCACCTCCACATA